CCAGAATGAAAAGTGGAGCCTGAAGATGTGACTGAACTGCTGAAATCTCATGATAGAACTTTAATGGATGAGGAGTTAGTTACTTCTTATGGATGAGCAAATAAAGTGATTTCTTGAGATGGAATCTACTTCTGGTGAAGATGTTGTAAAGATGACCAAGAATTTAGAATATTACATGAACTTAATTGATGAAGTTGTACAGACTTTGAGAAGATTAACTCCAATTTTGAGAGAAGTTTTATTTACTGTGGGTAAAATGCTATCAAACAGTATCACATGAAATCTTTCATGAAAGGAAGTGTCACTTGATGCAGCAACTTCATTGTTATCTTATTTTAAGAAATTTCCAGGGTACCCCAACTTTAGCAACCACCACCCTGATAAGTCAGCAGCCATCAACACTAAGGTAAAACCCTCCACCAGCAAAAAGATTATCACTCAATGAAGGCTCAGATGATGGTTAGTATTTTTTAGCAATAAAGTGTTGTTTTTTTTTAATTAAGGCATGTACATTGTTTTATTAGACACTAGAGGCCTGGTGCACCAGTTTGTGCACAGGTGGGGTCCCTCGGCCTGGCTGGCAATCGGGGCCAGCTGGCCAGGGGAAGGGACTGCTGGAGGTTGGCTGTGGGAGCGCACTGACCACCAAGGGGCAGCTCCTGCATTGAGCGTCTGCCCCCTGGTGGTCAGTGCACATCATAGCTACTGGCCAGTCGTCAGGTCGTCCGGTCTTAGCAGTTGCTTAGGCTTTTATATATATAGAAAATACTATTGCATCTTAATAAACAAAACTTTTATGTGCACTGGGAAACCAGAAAATTCCTGTGACTCAGTGTATTGTGATACTCACTTTATCGCTTCATCTTGGAACCCAACTGCAGTATCTCCAAGGTATGCCTGTACTTGCTGTGGTGCCACCTGCTGTGGTCTGCATGCTCTTTGCTCTCATGCCTCAGGTCTTCACACATGCTGTTTTATTTGCTTGTTTTTTTTTGTTCTGCTTCCTTTACAGGAAAAACTCCTACTTATAGTTTAAGATTCACCTCCTCTGATACATTTTCTTTAATTTCCTCAAGCTGAGGGACTTTCATCTATTTTAACTCCCATATAAATTTGTTTCCCCTTCTGACCTATAAGCTCTTTATCTTTGCATTTCTAACATCTAGTGAATTGTCTGATGTGCAATGGGAGCCAAACAATATTTGTTGAATGAATAGTTGAATTAATTAATTGATCACTTAGAGCCCTCCATTTTTTTTAAATTGAAAATCCCTAAATATATTTTGTTCTCTTGCCAGAGTTAAAACTCATATGTTAGTTTTCTATCCACTTGCACAGACTTGTGAGTTCTTCTTTCTTTTTTAATCCCATCTGTGTATTTCTTCATCAGCTAGAAGCCTTTAATGTCCCCTTCACTTAGAAATCTCATGAGATTTTACTTTCTGGAAAAAAGTTATTAAATAAGTATAAATCCCGAGGAGCTGAATTCTTTATACTTCTCCACCCAAAGAAATCCCTAAGTAACCCTACCATTTAATTCCCATTTTGACCTGGTTTAAGATTTTAGCATACTTAGACATATGAAGCTTTGAACCATGGTATTATCAGTTAAAATTAATAAAACAAACATCACCACAACCTTTTATTTAGAAGGCTGGCATTTATTAATTCCCCCTTTGTTTATGTGCCTACTTATTACATTAAATTTATTCTTTGGGATGTGCCTTAGGAGAAACGATTTTGCCTTCTGTATTTTCCTTACCTTCAACTCTATAACCTGCCTTTCTTTCCCCCACCAGCTGCCATAGTACATCATTTTTGTTATGTTCATTAAAACTGTCCTTATCACAGTTTACTGTTTTGGATATCAGTGCTCATTAAAGATCCTATAATTGCCTTGGGCAGAGATAATTAAGCTTAGGATCAAAAGCCAAAAATATATTTGGTTTTTAAATTCCAAAGTCCCTGCAGCATTAAAGTCACCATAATTTAGATATACATAGCCACCATCAGAGTAAAAGAAATAATATTTTTAACTTTTGCTTTCTTTGTAATAATATATGTTCACAGACTTTCTTCTTTCAGAAACTACCTAAATGTTGACCATGCCATTCTAGATAAAGAAGTATATGTTATGTGTATGTCACTTTAGAGGGAATTATGTAATACATTTTGATTATACTGTAATATGCAGAGACTTTTCTTCAGCTCTTTCTGAATATTTATACTTTTTATTGTTATTCTTCTGAGAGTTGTGCATCCTTTCAAAACTGTAATTTACTTGTCCTTTCAAAACATTAAATATTTTTCTAAGTTTCACTGAGCTAAATGTAGGTGGTGATATAAAAATGTGGAAAATATGAAAATCACTAAGACCATCACAGGACAAAGACAGTATTCCTTAATAAATTTAAGGAATAAAATAATTCTGTATTCTCTCTATGTCTACTTTTTTTCAAGTATATTTGTTTTCTTTCTTTTTTTTTTTTAATCCTCACCTGAGGATATTTTTCCATTGATTTTTAGAGAGAGCGGAAGAGAGAGGGAAAGACAGAAATATCCATGTGAGAGAATCACACTGATTGGTCGCCTCCTGCATGCACCCTGACTAGGGCCCAGGCTGGGGGGGAGTCTGCAACTGAGGTACATGCCCTTGACTGGAATTGAACCCGGGACCCTTTGGTCCTCAGGCCGTTGCTCTATCCACTGAACCAAACTGGCAAGGGCTACATTTGTTTTCTGATATGCTACTTACTCCGTCTTCTGTTGGCAAAATATCATTTTCCCCATTTTTATAGATGGAAAAGCAGACATTGAAAGAATAGAGGAATTACCCAGCTCATGGTGCTAATGACAGAGATAACACTAGAACTCAGACCAGAAATATAAGGGGAAATCATAGCGAGCCAAGAAAACCACAAAGTGTCTTTTCTTGGGTAATTAGTATGAACAGTGGGTTGACAGCTACTTCTTACTGTCCTCCCCACATCTTGTAAATCAGTTGATATCTCCCAACGCCTGCATAAAGTAGCAGACAGCCTTTACTTTCAGAAAAGAAGGAACTAAAAATACAGCAGGACAGCCATTTATTAACTACAGGCAACATTATTCCTTGGTAACAGAGTCTTGTGGAAAAAAACATGTGAGTTGAAAGACTTAGGTTTAGAGCTTAGTTCTTTTACCAGCCTCTGAGTCTTCTTACACTAAATACCTATTTAGTTAAAGTGGTGCTTAATAACCCCAGCCTTACTGCTTTAAAGGTGTTGTGATGATTGATAAGATCTATAAGCACTTTATAAACTGTCATTATACAAAGACGAGTCCTCGTCCTTGTATAGCAAATAAGGGAATTCCTTCCTGTGCAGGAAAGATATAGCATAGTTATTGGGATCATGGTTTAGCCATCACACTGACTTCGGTTACGATATAAGAAATGCCACCATCTAGCTCTGTCACTGGCTTAGGAATTTAGACTCTCCAAACCCCCGTTTTCTCGTTTTTAAAATGGGGAAAATATTTGTCATGAATTTTTAATGCATAAGCTATAGTTAAGGTCCCTTGAGTTAGTTTTCTTTAAAATAAGCTTTCTATTTATATTAATATTTTTGGATTTTTCAGAAAAGTTGCAGATTTGGTAAAGGGAGTTCCCATCTACGCTCCCCCTGGTTCCCTGCCTTGTTAATATCTTTGATTTGCCACAAGGAACAAACTAACTCTGACGGGTTACTATTCACTTAACTCAGGTTTGTGTGGGCTTCACCAGTGTAGCCATGAATAGTTTATTTCTTTTCCAGGATCCAGTCCAGGGATCCACATGGCGTTTGCTTGTCATGTCTCCCCAGCCTCCTCTGGTCTGTGAGAGTTTATTATTTAGTGCCCTGTTTTGGTGTGACCGTAATGGTCTTGAGGAACACTGCCCGGGTCTCATGCAGGATGTTCTCCAATCCGGTTTTCTTTATTGTGTTTCTTATGATTAGACTGGGATTGTGGGCTTTTAAAGAGAATACTAGAGAGGAGAAGTCACAATGTGTCAAGGGGTGCATGATATCCCTGTGGCATCACTAATGAGGTTAACCTTTGTCACTTAATTAAGGTAGTGCTTGTCAGGGATTTTTGCTGTATCTTGAGTTAGTTTTGGCCAGCTATCACTTTTATAGGACTTCTCTCCCCTCTCTTCCCACTGCTTGGGATGCTTTTCATTTATGTTCACTGCAACTGTCATCATAATGGAAATATTTTCTGTGACCGCCAAGCTAAAGCAGCTTTCTCTTCTCAAATCAGTCTCTATGATGCATTACTTTTGTCTCTTCTTGATAGCATGCATCATTTCCTGAAATAGACTTGTGCATTGTTTACCTACTTCATTGTGTGTCTATAGGATCCCTCCCCTCAAAGAAGAACATAAGCTTCAGGAGAACAGGGTCCTTGTAGGATTGCTCACATCTGTACGCTTCGTATCTAGCACAAGGGCCAGCATATGCTAAATGTTCAATAACTATTTGTTGAATAAATGTCTAAGAAAGAAAGATAGAGGGTTGATTTATTAGTAAGAAAAGAGTCTAAAAGAGCAGAATGGTCGGAGGTTCAACTTAGCATCTTGACTGAATTGGTTGAGTTTTCATGAAAAGGTTAAATGCAATCATCACCGTCTACGGAAATAGGTAATCAGTATCATTATAATTCATGCTCTCTTATAATACACTTAAGAATGTGAGCGCCGGAGTATTTTTCTGACTTGTAAGGATATGACTGATCTGCTCGGTGTTACACATCTGCATCACTGTGGCCTTTATTTGCTAATGCGCCCCGCTTTCCTACTACAGAATTTTTGACTCTGAAGGAGGGTAAAAATAATTGATGACCTGGATTTTAACTTATAGATGACTTCTTAGTGTCTATGATCTTTTTCATGTATATTGACAGAAAAGTAGAGCTTCTTTGTATAACTCTTTCTCCCATAGCTCATTATATGGTACCTCTCTTTTAATTTTCATCCTCAGGACTTAAAGTCTCCAAATCAGAGGGATGAAATAGCCGGCGCCCGGGCCTCATTGAAGGAGAACTCCCCGCTCTTGCATTCAATTTGTTCAGCTTGTTTGGAACATTCTGATGTTGCTTCCCTCAAAGCCAGCAAGGACACAGTTTGCGAAGAAATTCAGAATGCACTCAACGTAATATCGAATGCTTCACAAGGCATCCAGAATGTGCTGGCCCCTCTGGAACCTCAGGCAGCAACCCTGGGAAGTGCCCTTGATGAGCTTGAGGTAAGTCAAGAGAAAGGTGAAGTGTGATTCAATGTCCCAATATGAAAATAAACAGAAGTGGGTTTTTAAATCCATGTACTGGAGTTTAGAGCATGAGTAAATAAAGACCTAGTAATCCAATCAGACTCGACCATCCTCTTGTATGTTCCAATGAATTGATTAGCAGGAAAATATTCCATCAGTAGACCTCTGAGTCCTTTGCATCTCTGCCAAGGAAGTCGTGAATTTAAATTGGGGATTGTTAATTAGATTGTAATGATGGTTTTATTTTCTATAAATCTCCTTAGGAAATGTAGGATTTATCCATTTCACAAATACTTATTATTACTAGTGTACTTTGTGCTTGGGATGTAATAGATGACAATCCACATTCTAAAAGGGGAAAAAGGCAAAAAAACAATAAACATAGAGAAGTCAATTGCATAGAATGTTACATTGAGAAAGTGAGATATTATCAAAGGCTTGAAGGAAGTGAGAGAATCAGCAGGTGGAGATCCAGAACCGAGGCCTGAAGGCATGCCCAGTGTTTAGGTGACAGAAGTGGGGGATTGGTGCGGAGAGGGAGGTGATGAGTAGATGCTGAGATCAGAGACCCAGTGGGGTTAGGTCATAAAGGGCTGGAAAGGCTTTTATTGATTGCGGCTTTTACATCAGATTAAATTCGATTCATTGTAAGGTTTCAAGCAAAAGAGTGACAGGCTGAGACTACACTGACTGTGTGTCAGACCAAAGGGGAACGAAGGGAGAAGCTGAACAAAGGGAGTAGCTTCCAGACAGCTACGTGTGCTCCAGTCTCCCCCAGGCAGGAGGTTCCAGGCGTGCATTTTACATCACCACTTGATTCCACCTCAACTTCTAGTTTGGACCAGGGTGGTATCTGTAAATGCTGTGAGGGGAGCCAACTAGATTTGACAGAATGAATGTGACCTGTGGGAGGAAGGGAGGAGTTTTGGCTGAGTCTCCGGAAGCACCCGCCTGATGGAGCTTGGGGTACAAGCTGTTATTAGGAAGTAATATGTGCAAAGGGAAGAGAAGAAGAGCCAGACTAAGCAGAGGAAGAAGTCTACGCCCACAAAGCCTGGACCAGTCAGAGGGAGTTCTGGAGAGAAGGTTGCTCCTGAGTGTTCCGTGTCAGGCAGAAAAGCCAGGCCTTTTGCCTCTTTCAGTTACTAGAAGCCGTCAAACACTGAAGGAAGTGATAGCTGGGGGTCCGTCTGCTGTCCTCACTCCCCACAGCTGGGCAAGTCCTGCCTGGCAGGGGAATGGGCAGTGCACCTCTGTGTCTGCCACAGATCATTACAAGGTGTTGTTTTGTTTTGTTTTGGCAACTGGATGGATGAATTTTCATCAGTTATGATGGGAACTGGTGATAGGTGAAGCCAGTTTTGAGAAGAAGCTCAGAAACTCAAACTTTATTTTCAACAGTCGAGTATGATGTCAGGGACCATTAGCTACCCAAGTGAGACAGGTAGCTGCTCAGTGGGGGCAGCATTGGGTAGCACTTGGTGATGAATGCCTGGTTCCTCTCTCAGCTGTGGTTCTTACCACCCATGTGACCGTAGGAAAGTTATTTCCTTGGACTTGGTTTCCTCTCCAATAAAGGGGGATAAATCATAGTATCGTTACAATCAGTGAGAATAATACATGTAAACATGCTTAGAGCAGTGCCTGGGACTTCATTAGTGCCCAATAAATCTTAGCTCTCATTATCGTTAGTGGAGATGACTATTTGGAGGCAGATTCTTCTATAATTAAGAAATTAATCCAATTAAAATTACTAAGTTTTATTGATACACTAAACTAAACACATATAATTCCTATGTTCTTAATTTTATTACTTTCATGGTAAAAATATTATTTAAATTTAGAATTACCTTTTTGTATGCTTTTCCATTAGTTACATGTTTTTAAACAGGTCACTTCATTTCTAATCCAGCATTATTCAATTTCTAATTATTGACATCATTGTGAAAATTTATTAAATTCTCAATTATTAGCATCTATGTGAAAATTTTAGGAACTCTTGTCTAAATAGGGTAGACTCTTTAATAATACCCCATCATCTTTTTGTTTGCCCTGTGTAATGAGCACTCAGTAAGCTTGTCCTTTAGATGCGTACCTTGTCTTCATAATAAGATTGAAACCTCCTTGTGGGCAAGACTGTTTCTTACTAATTTTATACCAGTGGTACTAGTTGAATGTTAGGTCCCCCATAAATTAAAATGTAACTTTTCTTGATAGCTAGCCATTTAATTATTAGAGTCTCTATAAGATAAGCATTTTTATTTATTTTTTACAGAAAATAAAATTGAGACTTGCGTAAGTTATGTAACTTGCTTAAGTCAGAAGGCTGGTGAGTGATCAGAGCTGGGATGTGAATCTCATCTCTCTGATTCCAGAAGATAGTTCTATCTTCTGTGCTATATTCAATTTTCATTGATAGAACTTAAGGGGCTTAATTAAAATTCAACACAATTTATGCTAAGATTCTTAGTTTCTATAAACTATCAGTTAAATTATAAATGTAACCAAGTATAAAAGATAGAATAACTTGTTAGTGAAATGGACTTTGTACCTGGGTCATTTAAGTAGAAGTAGTTTATATTTGAGAAGGGGCTAATACAGTGAGGTGAAATTTCCTAGGCTGGACATACAGGCTTGTATATCATTTCTCATAGTGCTACACAGAATTGTGTCAGGGGATGCTTGCATAATTGGTCCAGTTTATTATGCAGAGAGGAAGATAGATAGGTAGGTAGATAGGTAGGTAGGTAGGTAGGTAGGTAGGTAGGCAGGCAGATAGATAGATAGATAGATAGATAGATAGATGAGCTAGTTGGTTGCAGCTTTAATGGGACCAGGCATAGGAGTGGTGATGGATGGAGTCTTCCTTTTCTCAAGCCTGTGGCTGATTCACTTCTCAGGACAAGGCAGGAGGGAGTCCCACAGATATTTCCCTGAAATTCTAATACCGTCTCAACAACCTTTGAAATGAATTCAGTTTCAATCAAAGCTAGGCATGCCCAAGCTAGTGCAAATGCTTGAATTTTGTACATATTTTTATACCCAAGTTACAAATAGCTGCCGAGGCTGTCTGAACTAGGTAAAGCAGAATTTATTGAGCATTTAGCCTTTTAAAATGATTTTGTAAATTAAATGGTTGCTCTTCTCTTTATTTACAGGAAGCGGTATTGGCAAAAGATCCAAAGTAACCTTTGCTCTATCTTGCTTCTGCAAATAGAATACCTTGAAATAAATTGATGTAGTAAATACGCTGTTGGAAGTGTCATTACATGTTTATGGTGTGGAAATGTATCAGAGCGCTTACTCAACAAATACCATGTGGCAGCTCCGTTTGCTCTTTCATTCTGGTCCACACCTGGTTGTGGATATGAAGCCTGAGATTTATTGGTGGAGAAAATAGAAGTTGAATTAGAATACTTGACAGGTTAAAGTGATTGATTTATTGGAAAGGCTAATATGAATTACAAGGTGTTCCTTCTGCATTTGTGACCGAGTGAGGGTTGAAAAGTGTTAAATTATAGATTAACAGAATTTCCAAAATGTTTTTAAGCGAGAAACTTTGCCAGTGTAATTGCTTTGAAACTCCAAATCTATCAAGATATGCTTTCTCCTGTGGGGAAAAAGCAGCTGTTGTAATCATGGTCCACAAAGTTATCCAGATCATCTTGTGAAAAAGAAGGTAATGACAAAGGAGTTTTGTAGTGTTATCTCATTTCCAAAGAGCTGTTATATTTATTTTCTTATGTTTCTTTTTAATATATTCATTTATGTGTCATCATTCCTATATTTCTTTTTTTTTTTAATCTTCACCCCAGAATATTTTTTCATTGATTTTTAGAGAGAGTGGGAGAGGGAGAGACAGAGAGAGAAACATCGATGTGAGAGAGACATAAGGATTGGTTGCCTCCTGCACGCACCTTGACCAGGGTCGGGGCCAGGGAGGAGCCTGCAACCAAGGTATGTGCCCTTGACCAGAATCAAACCTTGGACCCTTCAGTTCGCAGGCCGATGCTCTATCCACTGAGCCAAACCAGCTAGGTCCCTATATTTCTTTATTTACTATTGTATCTCCAACACCTAGAATAATGTTCTACACATAGTAAGTGCTCTGTGAATATTGCTGAGTAAATGAAGGAAGGAAAGAATAGATACAGGAATGCTGCACGTCATTTTGTGATATTGGATCGAAGTGCATTTTTCCCTTACCCCTGTTTTTTTCCTCCTTTCTCCAACTGGCAGTGCATATACTTGTGGTGGGTGGCTCTCCTTTACCTAACTTTTAACTGGGACCAGAATTTACAGTGAGGTAAGCCACCAAAAACCTATCTAAGTGATATGCTGCTCAGATTTTTTTTGTGTGTGTGATAAGGGAGCCCAAAGAGAGAAAAATTCTCTTCTCTCAGTTGCCATCTAGCCTGAGTTTAGATGCCCTGCAACTGCCAAGATATGCTGCCCTTTACTAAGAGTAATAATATGCAGAATACAGTCCTTATATTTTTATGTTTTCACCTGAAGGAGAAATGGGACCTGTACTAAACAGATTAGCATTTAGGACTAGAGAAGTATAGGCATCACTGATGTCGAGGAGCACTTTAACATGCTTTTCAAAAAATGGTTTGGTTTCTAGAAATATAGTAAAATAATATAACTAAAAATAATGGATCAAATATTTTTAAATACATGGACAATCCAACAGGTGAATTAGGAAAATCTGAGGTCAGCCAGATAAGAAGAGAGCTGAAATCCAGGCTAGCAAGCCAGCACCAGCATTGTGCTGGGAGGTGTGGGGAATTTCTTTTTCATTAAGGCCTGTGGCTTGGACTTGAAACACCATGAACTGAGGGCAGAAGACACGGGCTATATATTGTCAATAGGAAAGCCATAGGAGATCCTTTCATAAAGGTGAGAATCCTTAAATTTAGCTACCTCTTTGGATGAACAAGAGAGACACCGGCCCCTACAGTAGGAGATTGTAG